TCTAAATTCCTTGAAATCAACTCCAAAGGTCAGTAATGACCTAAGGAGAGATTCCCAAGTGTTTGAGAATTTTTTGGAATTTTAAATATTTTTTAATTAATTAAATTAGTTAAATATTGGTTTTCAATTAAAGTTAAATTAAGTGCAGACTTGCTATCAAATTCAGTTGGCTTCAATTTTCATTGATTAAGGGTTCAATTCTGGTCAGTTATATGGGTTGTTTGTATTTTTTGGGTTTAAATTTGATTTATTAGAATTTCCGGAAGGTGTAATGATTAATTAAGGGTTTAATTCTACGAAAATTAATTAAGGGGCTTAATGAATTCAAAATCAGTGGGGATTTTTCTATGGGCTGTATATGTCGTTATGTTCAAATGTTTAAAGTTTTGAGTCAAAAGGATGTGTATCCTAATTTCTAGAATTATTCTAAATTTTCTAGACAAAGGTCCTTAATTATTATCCTTAATGATGTCACTAAGTTTAAGTGGGTTTGAATCAATGTTTTAACTGACCCTTAAACTTAACATATAAGTAAACATATACAATCAAACAAGTCCTTAAATCTAGGAGATCCCTAGACTAAGTGCGAGTGTGTGCCACCTAAGCATGCATGGATTAACATAAAACATACAATTAAATATAATATTAGTGAATAATCAAAAAATGATTATTCACTAATCATCCCCATTAATTCTATTCAAACATGTCTAATCTAGGTTTAAAATCATAATGGATCTCTCAAAGGTATGAATTTAAATTCATATAATTTTAAAATAGATTTTAAAATATATGTATGTATGTATATAAAGATAAACCTATATATAAATATATATTTTAAAATAAGATAATTAAAAATATTATCAAAATTATTTTAAAATATCAATGAGAGATCCTCTGGTTTTTTTAAAGTTATTTGAAAATAAATTTTTAATTTTCAAAATAATTAATATAATATTTAATTGTATGTTTTATGTGGGACAGGTCTACTGAACGACGTGATCAGAGTCGTTGATCTTGAGATCAGCGGCTCAAAAAATGTGCCATTTAGCACAGTTCGTCTGAAGCCCTAGATAGAGTTTTTTGAACATTTCTCTCAATCGGATCGATGGCTTTTCTTAAAATTTTAAATATAGAATAAATAAGTGAACAGAAATAATGGGGATATATTTTTATAGCCTAAGATGCATTTAAACGAAATCTATTTAACCTAAGTGTCATAAGCTAGGTTTAGGATTTTCACCTTGATTTTTGGATGGATTGAACCGTTTATAGAATTGTTGCATTTGTAGACTGTCCACGCTCCATTTTGTAGAAGAAACCCTAGCCTGAAACACCTCCGATCGAGAGCTTCAAGCCTAGGACGGATTTGACACTTTGCTCGCCGGAAAGCTCACCGGCGGCGACTTTGACCGGCTGGTTTCTAGTCGGGAGAGCTTGAGGGGTCTCTGGAGAGCTCAATAAAATCGAGCTTTGGGTTTGGGGCGGCTTGAGTGGAGAGAGAGTGTATATGTTAGAATGATGGCTCAAAATGGAGTATTGCCCTATTCAAACTCCATCTGATCGAATGGAGGGTTGAAATTCATTAAGGGAGCTCCTAGATGATTGCCATCTGTCCTTGGGGTGGTTGGGATGGCAGGGAATCAAGAGGACAAAAGAACATGAGGTGTAAAGCCTCTTTTGTCCTTTGGAGCACATGGCTTAATCAAGAGCCATTGGATCTTGAATCAAAGGCTAGAATTTGTCTCAAGAACATTCCAGAAGTTGATTAGGATTAGTTGAATGGCTGTCTTTGGAGTAATCTAGCTTAAATGGGGATTTTAACCAAGTTTGACCACCTATAGCCTTGGTTTGACTGTTTGACTAGTCCCCATGCCACATGGCAGCTGAGGTGGCATGGGAAGGGGCTTTGGGTGCTGGATTTAGGACTTGAAGGGAATTTAAAGTTTGAAGATTGAAGTTTTGATGAATTAGAAGGATTTTGAAAGGGTTTGACCATATGTTGATTGGTCAAATGAAAATGTTAACTGCTGAGGTGGCAGCCAAGTGTCCATTCCAGATGTTTGGGAGTTGTTTGGAGGAAGTATAAAACCATGGGTTGAAGCTTGAATGGATATAAGGGATTTTATATGGGTTTGATCAAGTCAAAATGAATTGACTTGGTCAAATTGACCATGGTGAGACTCCAAACAAATTTGATTATGTTTGAATCATGAATTAAAGTGGGTTTGAGAGCTTAAATGATTTGAAATAGTTAAATGGGTTGGAATGACCCATTTAAACTCTTAAGGGGCATTTGAGTCAACCTAGGTTAACTTGGTCAACTAGGTTGACCCAGGGGGTGGGTCAAGGCTTAACAGGTTTGATTTGATATTTGAAACTTGCTGGAAGTGGTTCCAAACGATTTGGAGTTCATTTCGTTTGAAATGGGTATTTGAATCCCATAGGGGTATTTTGGTCAAAAGGTGTTGACCTGGTTAACCAGGCTTGACCAGGGTTTGGGCTTGAGTCCAATGTGTTCCTAATAGTGATTAAGATACATTGGAGAAGGTCTTGGGGTTTGATTTGAAGAGGGCATATTGAAGTATGGAGAAAACTTCAATATTGCCCTTAATGGGTATTTTGGTCATTTTGACCCCTGGTTAACTAGGGGTCAAAATGGGTCCACCAAAATGTAGTTTAATGCTCAATGGGTCAGGATTAAGGGTTTGGAAGTGATTGGAGGCTTTGTAGAAAGCTCCAAGGTCAAAATCCGCTGGATGGTTGGTCCAGTGGCATATGCAGTAAATATTTGAAGGTTTTATAGCCTTTGGATTTCAATTCAAATTCTGGGGTTAGAGACCTCATAATGGGCTCAAATTTGGTGGGTTACCTTTAGAGACATGTCTTATCACCATACAAGTGATAGACTCTAAATCAGAGATCATTTGATTGGGTTTTGAAGTGTTTGAAAAATTCTTGGAAAATGATTTCAAGATGGAGCATTCAACCTTGGATTTGAGTCTGGATTGATCTAAGATCTAGGTAGATCCTAAGGTTTGGATTAGTCCTAGTGACCTCATATAAAAATGAGGTCAACACCTTTTCATCATCTCTTCCAGATTAAAAAATCTGCCATCAATTGCTGAAGTTCGCTGTCTGAATTTGGATTTCATATTTTCAACTTCCCTATCAAGCCTTTCCTCTAATGCATCAACCTTTTTAGCCGCCATAGGCATCAAAAAAGGTGCTCTGATACCAATTTGATAGGAATCCGATCTCCGCACAACACTGAAAAAAGCAATAATGAAGAGGAAGCACTATAAAAGTCAACAAGAAAGAATGTAATTATGGGCTAATTTTATTGTTATCGGCACAATAAACCAATATACAAGTTAATCTACTATTCGAGAGGTAGATCGACTCTTCACAAATCCTAAGCGCAGCTAGAAACAACTTAAAAAAAAAAGACTGCCAACATAAAATCCCCTTCTCCCCATAAAACAACCTAATTAGTCTTAAATAAACTTTCCTAATTTCCTTCCAAATCTAAATTCAAATTAGCTCTCTTTCCCCAAATAAATCTTCCTAATTTCCTCACAAATTCGAATTCAAATCAACCATTTTTCTCTAAATAAACCTTCTTAATTCCATCTCAAATTTGAATTCAAATTAGCCATCTTTCCCTAAATAAATCTTCCCAATTCCCTCCTAATTTTGATTTTTTTATGTTAAGTAATTAAAGGTAGAATTAATCCTCTTTGAGCCCCCCTCTTTCCTTGCCCGTTGCCTACACACTAGGAAAAGTTATTACGTCCGGTCAAAAAATCGAAAATCCGGACAAATACCGAGCAATACCGAGTGCTTGGTACCGAGCACCCAAGTGACGTGGCTCTTTGTTATTGGTCTTTGGAAGCGATCGGTGTCCGAACACAATAATTACACACTACTGAGGCACACAGGGCTCTTCCACCTGTCAACTAGACTTGCTCCCCTTGTTGAGGCCGGGTTTATTGGCTGGATCTGCTTAGCCAGACCATCAAATCCGTTAGTTATTTTAGTCGATCACCTCCATTTACTGAGTAAACTAAGATTCTTAATGACTTGACATTACGAAACAACGTGATCTGATCATATTTATCATCATTCCCAATAATATAGTTTGAGGCAATAATGATATGTCTATTTATCTTTGTGTAATCCAAATTGTTGTCACTAAATCAAAGAATATAGGACCTATAGACTAACATAAATCGAAAGTTCTTTCTTGTGATCAGTAGAAGTAATTAATCATAAGTATTTGTACCTATGAGGTGAATCATGTAATATAGATCTCTTAAGGGGCGAAAATTTATGAGTAATGTATTCTTTAATATCGAATATGTTTTCTGAAAATTTGATCTGAAATTATGCCAATATCACTAAATCGAGTGGGATTCTGAAGCCCACTTAAAGAGTTTTCAACTAAACATTTTCTTGCACATGCTACACCTCACCTTAAAAATTGCTTCTGCTGTATAACCAGAAGCTAGTAGCAGAAAACTATACCAAATGAAGCCTCTATCTTACAGAGGTCAAGATTTTGTTGAACTTGCTGAAATAATTAACATGCCAAGAAATGGAATATTAACAATAAAACATATTTGTCATGCTCTTATGCAATAATAGAGCTTTGAATGCCTAATTTATTTATTCTTGGTCATTTGTGTTAATGGAAACTATACAACTTCTGGAATAATTAATTATATTCAATGAGATGTCGAGGGTACAAAAATTGGTCCAATCTCTTTTACTTTAGTTTAAAACATTGAATGCAATTACAAAAGCTGATGGTTTTAATTGTAACAATCCTAAAATATATATCCCCCATAATATTTTATAGATACAGGTGTATATTAATTTTTGATCCGTTGCTTGACATGGCTTCATTGTTAACAACTTTTTGATTATATCTTTTGAATTATTGCACATATAGGAATTATGTTTATAACTGTATCATTGATGATACAATGAACCTATTTCAGGGCTTGGATTTACCTTAACAGTCTGGGATTATTTGTCAATAAAAGAGAAATTTCTTTGACATGGCCACAGCATCTTCAGTTACACTTCGCCCCTACATGAACCATTCGCACAGAGTTTGGGAAGATCCTTCTTACTTCAAGTGGAGCAAGCGTGATGCTCATGTGCCATTGCGCTCTCATGATACCATTGAAGGTAAAAGCTCTTTGATGCTAATGCGTCTTAATTCGACGATCTAAGTTTTTAATCACCTCACTTCATGCATATTATTTTGTTCTAGTGTATTTTTCGATAATCATTTTTTCATAGTAATCTAGAAAAAGAAGATAATTTTAGGATATGAGCTAATGTTCTCTTTTGGGATACAAATGGGTCCCTTGGAACGTTCAGCTGTAATGGTTCATAAAAAGTATATGAATGCTGCTATCCATAATGCAAGTAGGAGCAACAGATACTTACACATTAAACGATTATATATATATATATATATACATATACACTAAAGCTATTTCAAATTATTACTTTTTTACTTGCAATGCTCATATTATTAACAAAAAAATGCCTTTTTCATAACCTTTGATTTTTATTAGTTCAATTATATTAACCCGTTCCTGTTTTTTTCGCTCTGTACATTGACTGAATCTATTATCTTGTTTCATTTGTATTTGTGGTATAGGTTCTCTCAGATTTTGGTATGACAGGAGTAAAGTGGACTTCTTGCTTTCTAACTTAGCCGTATGGAATGATGAGGCTATTTCTCATGCTCTTGGGAGTGCTGAATTTTGGACCAAGGGTTTACCCTTCGTTAAGTCCTTAAGTGGATATTGGAAATTCTTTCTAGCCTCTTCTCCTGCAAGTATTCCTGTGGACTTCCATGTTATTGGATTCGATGATTCAGTTTGGGAATCATTGCCAGGCAAGTTTGCACATTTCATTTTCTCTGGCTTCACAACTCCTATTCTCTTTCTCTACTTGATCTATCTTCATTGCATATTTGCATATACATTTAACATGTTTCCGATGAATTTCCAGGTTTATTCACATTGAGTCTTTGCAATATACTCTTTTGAATGATAGAAGGCAACATTGTTGAATATAATTTGTGAAGTAAAGGATTTTCACAGAAAAAGAATTGGCCTCATATTAACTTTTTTTTTGTCCCTAGTTGTCATATTGACTTTTTAGTCATTAAATATCTTACTTTTATATTACTTTAATCTTAATCTTAACTACCATTCATTTGAAGATTGGTAGTTGTATGCTTTGAAGCTTTTGTATATTGATTATAGACAAGCTTGTTAATTTTCATATCTTATGTGAGAGATTTCTCAGAGAAGCATTATTTGGTAATCACATCAGGTCTTTTAATATCAATTCTTTATTTACAATCATGAATCTTTAATTTAAATTTTTACTGAAATCATGTCAAACAGGGAGGAGAAGTCACTTGAATCTCGTGGGAAAATATAAGTACAATCTAATGAACTTATAATAAATTTTCAAAATGTGATTTGCATTCTTATGATTACATTTGACGAACACTAACCATATTGTGTCTAAACAGTTCCTTCAAATTGGCAGATGCATGGTTTTGATCGTCCCATCTATACGAATACTGCTTATCCCTTTTCTTTTAATCCACCTCATGTTCCTTTGGACAATCCGACCGGCTGCTACAGGAGGCAGTTTTGCATTCCAAAGGATTGGAAAGGTATGCTTGGTTAAGCTTTTGATTATCGGGATGCCATTTTATTGGCCCTCTTACCCTATTTAATAAACATAAAAATTTTCCTTATGCAGATTTATGATAGATGCAACTTTTATCTTCATCTTTTAGTTTAATGTAAAGTTCTCTTCTTGCCACGTAAGTTGTATAAATGAGAAGAGATAGTTCCAACATTTTCATATTGTTTTTGCACCTTTTTCCTTATGAATAGTAGGGTTGTAATAAGCCGAGGTGAGCTGAACATGCTACTATATAAATATATATATAGGACTATAAAATTTTTAAATTTAATTGATGATATGCACCCCTATGAAACTAATAGTTTGGCTATCAATTGAAATTAATGAAAGTTTTGGATGAAAGAGTTTTATTGTCAATTAAAAATATTAATAGTAGGGAAGGAAAGAGGTAGGAGTTGGTGTTTGTAGATCATACATTTTTATAAAATATCAGGTTATGGGTTGAATCATATTCCTCACATTATTCCTCATTTCTCGAAAAAATCTCAGTTATTTATTTTTATTTAGCTATTGTATCAATGGTTCGTCTTCGTTAGTGGCTATTTTTAAAATCTTGTAACTGACATAGTGCTTGGCCCTTCTTTTATAAAGGATAAAGTCTATCCTATATATTTTTATAAAGGGGACAAGACCAATTATAAGATTTCATGAAGAGTCACTGAAGGGAAAAACCGTTGATACAAGAGCTATATGATAGTGCACGCCTAATATTATTATTATTTTTTTCAAGAAATGAGCAATGGTGTGAGTGGGAAGAAACCTATGACCCCATGATTCTGACTTGTGGTATGAACCATTAAGACAAGGCCTAGTTCGCAAATTTAAGGCATGAATGATGCCATGCATCATTTTTAATAAGGCATGGGCGTGATTGTTGTAGCTTTTTTAAATTCTCTGAAGTGCTGAATTTCTCTCGAAGCATTCCACATAGAGTTATATTGAATAAAGGCCTTTGCTTGTTCAATGCATTATGAAGTGTGGGCTCCGAAAATTCACACCCCAGCCTCTTCGTGACTCCTTTCTCTTTTCGAGTCGGCGATGAGAGTTTTAATGAGTAGGTTCAGAGACAATTTTTTATAAGGCAAATTGTGTTTTAGATAAGACATTACCATAACTTTCGTCCTCATTTTGCGAAGACTTTATGATTTGAGTTTAGGTTTCCTATAGGTGCAAGTCCTTATAGTTAATTCCCCCTTTGATACAGAGAAAGAACTTTCAATTAAGGTTAGTTGTCAAATATATACATAGTATTCGACATATAGTAGTAGCAGGTTTTGATATTTAAAATAGAAATTTATTTCAACACGCACTTAAAGAGAATGGTGGGGGGAATGATTATGAACTTGATCAAGATCCCATGGTTCCATCGCCTAGGTCATTATGATCCCTAGTCTACTTAGTCATAGGAGGTACTCGACCGAACCTGACCGAAGGATTCTTGTCGACAACCATGGGTTGTTTCGTTCAAGGGTACCTTATAGATTTAGGATGAATGTTTATCTAAGGGGATATATTTAAGTCCACCTTAGCTACAAAGGTTTTTGTGCCCTATCGATTATACCCTATTAATTTATTACTCAATGATTTAGCATTGTTGGAGAATATATGAGCTTTGACCATACCTGCAATTTAATAGTGTCATTTAGCGGCAAAACCATTCAGTCATATCAATTTACATATGGTGCCATTTGGCGGCGAAGTCATTGGAGGACACGTGCTATGTCCTTAATGATAAAAGATGATTTGAGAATGAATCATAGTGATATTCTCGAGTAGATATTTTCTCTTTGTGAGCTGAAATAACTTTCAAATTTGTCCACCTCGGCAAAATGTTGTGGAGGGTGGATGTGTATTTTGATTTAAGTATTTGATGATTAATTTCAGTTAATTACCCCTCAGGTTGAAATTTACATTCAACACAGTCATCATTGGGGTGACTTTATTGTCACTTTAAATGTTTATATTTTATGAGTTTGGGAGGCATTTTAAAAGTTTAGGGTCCCCTCTAGTTCAAATTTTCTGTCAACACGTCTATCATTGGAGTTTTATGAATATGATCATTTCATTAATTAGACCTTGTCAACTCTATTTTCTTGCAAACAGAGGATCGTGTTGGGCTCCTAATTAATGGAATTTTTGTGTGGATATTAGAACCCAGGATATTGATTTTGATGTGTGAATTTTCTTTGTAAGAGATATTGAAGGCCTAATATGAACATTTAAAATTAAATACTTTAGTCGGTGCTACAATCATATATTTGTTCGACGATTTAAATAATGTCGACTCTATCTATTTATTGACAGAGGATCAAGTTTGTCGTCAGCTTCATGCTTTTGTTAATGAATCTTTTTTATAATAGACCTTGATGGACTAATATGAACGTATAAATAAATACTCAAGTCGGCGCTACGACCATGTATTTGCTCTATAATTCATACCGCATCGACTCTGCCTATTTGACGACAGAGGATCAGGCTTGAACTTAAGTTCATTTCTTAACACGTGCAGCATTTTTAGCGTCAAGTGTGTGCATATGTCACATTCGTCGGGGCCCATGCATGTTTATGCTTTAGTATAATATATATGTATACCGATTATATGTATGCAATTCAATGGGTGTATATGACATATTTGCATATTTGCACATAGGCTTATGCTTTCATCTGCATGTTAACATACTCATATGTATACTTGTGCATTTGAATGTATATGTGTATGTTGATATATGCATTTGCGTATTGCTTAATATTTGGCATGTTGCATGGAAGCTTAATGCAATAGCATATGATGTATGATGCATCTATGCATCCCCTGTTTGATTGCATAATACATTGCATGATTATTCAGTGCTTTCATGTAGTGCACGAAGTATTTGCATGTGTTGATGAATTTTAAATTACAAGAAATGACAGAATAAAATTTCTTCTTTAGAAAAAATGCATCTCTTCAATTTGGCCCCACATTAAGCAGTTGATCGCCGAATGAAGCATTGCTTCACTATTGTAATTTCTTTCGGCAAATTAAGTTAATAAATACACCAGAAACAAGACAACAGGGCTTATGCTCAATTTCAGTATTCAATCCTTCCCTACTTCACTTGTCTTTCGATCCCGAATACTCTCCTGCCGAATACACCCGCAAGCGACAGCCCGCAAATCCACTTTCTTTCGCTACAAGAAGCTGTAATTCGCTCTGCCTTCGACTCGTAGCCGTCTTGCATGTGGTTTCATCATCTCGATAGCACAACACACCTCCGTTTGGCCCCTTCCCGCGTGCGAATACCCACGCTCCGGTTTGGTTGCTCCCGTTCGTGCCAAACACCTGCTCCGATCGCCCGACGCCCCAGCCTCTGCTCACGCCCCTGCCTTCCGTGTTCATCCGTCTCCAACCTGTGCAAAATCACGTGTGGCCGAATCATCCGCCTCCTGCACTTCAACTTGTAAACTGAGTCCTAGCCGGGCCTTCACGTGCCGCACGCCCACTCTAAACCCAAACCTCACGCCGGCCTGCTCTTGCTTGACTAAACATAGAATCCGTCACTCATCTCTATAACTTCCTAATGTCAAACGGACCTCTGCATACTTTCATTTTTTTGGAAATAACATTAAAGGTATATAGAGTTAGACCTTTGTTAAGAATTTCTTTTTATAAGCTAATACATGGGTATGAAAACCTGTTTGTTGACAGAGTGCTGCTTCATCTATTATCTAATTATTCAGGCTTTGTAAGAAAATGTAATTAAAATGAAAATGCAAAATTATAAAGCAACAAGAACTACATATTTAAAGGCCCGCACCATTGATTTTTAATCTGGGTGGATGAATTTTAAAAATTAAATGACCCATACTATGATTTTTAGTTCAGGCGAATGATTTTAATTTTTTAAGACATACGCCGTTGATTTTTTATCCGGGCAGATGAATTTGTTAAATGGAAGACGCTGTGTCGTTGATTTTTGATCCCGACAGGAAGAAACAACGATAAATGTCGTCCCGACCTCCCCGTAAGGGGAAGGGATGTTGGAAGGCTGCCAAAATCACTCCATAAAACTATTGGAAAATCATTTGAAGCTTAATTGATTAATTTAATTAATTAATGCGAGAATTATTAATTCGGATTAATTGATTAATTTAATTAAATCATTAATTTAAAATTAATTAATTGATATGATGATTTAGTTGAAATTAATTAATTAAAATCTCATATATCCTTCTCAATTGTACAAGTAATCCTCAAATCTAAGTGCACAAAAGAAACAATTTAAGCATTTGACATTAAGTTGTGCTAAGTCCCGTTCTTCTAAACTCCATTCAGTGAAATGAATATTAGTTTTAATTCCGTTAAGTATATGTGACGGTAAAAAATAGTCAGATTAAATCATATGTCACATTCTAAAATCAATGGACTGTAAAAATGTTGACATTCTTATTTTCCAAAAATAAACTAAAATATTATCGAATAATGGTGGACGAGTTATTGAATAACCCTCCGCGGTATTCCTATTCCTAAATTGTGCCATAAATCTTTTCACAAGGATTTTAAAATCACTAATTCTGAGACTCACTCTGATACCAATTGAAAGTTCAAATAAGGTTGTTAAGCCTAGTTTAACTGCCCAAGGCACACCAAGAGGGGGGTGAATTGATGTTTTCAAAATTTCTTTTTTAAAAAACTTACTATCAAATTCAAAAGTACGTTCAGAGGTTGTTTTAACAATGCGAAAGTAAATGATTTAAAAAACTCAAATGCATTTTTTTTTTATTTAATAGAAAATACAAATATGAATTTTTTTTAGAGATTATTTTCTTTTAATATTTTTTTTCTCACAAAAATTAATTCAAAACGATTACAATGCTTTCAACCTAGATTTGCAAAAATATAACGGGCAGGAAATAAAAAATGAAATAAAAAAATAAAATACAAGAAGGAAAAGGAACAAGCGCATAAAAAATTTTATAATGGTTTGGTTAAAACATGATCTACGACCACTCTCTGGAGTTGTCTCTAAGTATTACAGTAAACCTTTATTAACTCTCATTTTTTCCCAACAGTAAGATGGAGAAGCCTTTATAAATCTCTTCCACCAGCCTGGTGCTACAGAGTACAAAAATCTTTTTCACCTTTCTAGTGAGGCAGAGAACCAAATACTTTTTCACCCTCCTGGTGAGGCAGAACCTGAATCCCTTTCACCCTCTTAGTGATGCGGAGTGTCGACGATCTTTGTCCTTGAAGATTTTCACCTTGGAGCATCCCTCAAGATCAATGAAGGCACATTGAGGAACCTAGGTAGAAGCTTTCTTAGAGCAACCGCGTGAAATCCCCTTTTACACTACTTCTCCCTCGTACACAACTTCTCTCCCTTTCTCTCCAAACTCCATGATCTCTCAAGAAGATAAAGCCCTCATAAAGAATTCTCTCAGAAATTTCCCAACAACCAAAGACTTGTAAAAACGAAATAAGATTTGTTTAAATACAAGTTTCCAAGGCAAATCCTAAATAATAAAGTACTTTTAGTTCAATTGACCCTTTAGTACTAAAGGTCGATTAAACTAATCTTACTGTACGGTGGCTACTTCCTTGTACGATTAGTTCAAAGTTTTTTGATTGATCGTCCAATTTGATCATAGAGTCGTACAATACGATAAGTTCAATCGAATAACAGATAGTCATGGGCGATGCCTGGCGATTAAATATCGTCCTGATCACCGCTCGATTCATACAGTATGAATCTCATGTTGTACGGTACAATCGTTAATCACAATCAATTTTTGATTTGATTGCTTAATGTTTGGGATTAAATTAGGCAGGATTGTTAAATATCGTACATGACGATTAGTATAGTACTGTACGAATAAACCAACTTTTATTTTTCAAAATATTGTCTAAAATATGATTGGCGACGACGTTTCCTATTTGCATTTGATCGTCCAGTACGAAGTGGTGTTCGTACTCTATGAATAGTTATATTTCAAGAAAATAATTTTTATTTAAATAAAACATTTTAATTAATTTATGTTTCAAGGGATCGTACAGTACGATCAATTGATTGTATAGTAAAATTTATAAAAAAATTAAAATATGTCCATTTTCACTCTCCCTGTGTGTGTGCACGATTGCTAAACTAACATTCACCTTTTTCATTACATAGACTCATAAAAGATAAAAATACAAACTTTTGCATACATCAACCCTACACTACTTGATCCTCGATCCTTTGACTGTGCTTGGTGTATGTTTGTACCTGAAATGTTAATGCACACCGAAAATATATGCAATAATAACAAGTAGGAGAAACTAAGTAAATTCCCCTAATGTTTATAATCATAAAAACAAAGGCTTGGGCTCTCGAATTGCAACAAAATAGAGAAAAATGGAGGAATTATTGTGCAGTCCTGAATGAGAACAGTGCCAAATTGCTAAAACTAATTATAAGCAAGATCAGCATTCATTAAATAGAAAAAAATAGTTTGAATCAGGGTACAAGAAACAACAATGTCAAAACTCCAAGTGTAAATTTAGTAATCAGAATCAAATTTTTATAAGCTGATTGTTAGTATTCATGGGTTCAAACATCAATAGAGAAACTGATGAGTTATGCTTTAAGATGGGCAGCAAAATATGAATATACAATGCATAAATAACAAGAAATGAAATAGTGAAATTTATGTTAGATCGAGATGATTAGCTTCCAGTAGGATTTCAACATCAAGTATAACAACAAATTTTAATAATATTTTATAATCTCTTTAATAATACATTCTTGATTCTTAAACATCTTTCATTGGGACATCTTTTATTGCAAGTAAAGAAAGCCTAACATGCATCTAGAAATTTATTTAATCCCTTAAAAAAATCTCATATAGCCAATAAAGTTTCTGCTTAGAGAATAATTCAAGAGGAAGGGCATAGAAGAGATATTAGGGACAGGTTAAGGTTATTATGGAAATACATAATTAATTTAGCTTTTCTGCAAAAATAAAAAGTATTTCTACAAGTTTGATTACAAGATTTAATTGAGATTAAAAAAAGCAAAATCATACCAAACATTTTTTTGAAGCAAGTGAATCTTATGTGTTGAGAAACCTTGGGAGTGGTCGAATTTATGACATTTAAGGGATTTTACTTGTTATTTGCTATCACTTTTTTGCATAAACTCCTCTTTTCTTTCTAATTCCATTGATCTTTCCTAGCGAGTTCCCTCCATGTTTCCTTACATCTTCTTTGTTGTTTACAATGATGCACAAATACGGACACGTCAACACGACACGGATACGGGACACATCAATTATTGAAAATATTGGACACAGACATGAGTTGGACACAGTATTATAGTTTTTATATTTTAAAAAGTGTATAAAAATTGAATAAGTATAATTTTTAAAATAATTTAGAATAATAAGTCATTTAACTAGAATTTGTGCTTAAAATGATTTGATATTAGGATGTCGAGAGTCGGGCGTCGATGCCGTCTATCAATCATTGAGAGAGGAGATGACATTGTTGTCGAATGCTGTCGAGAGTCGGGCATTGATGATATGCAGTAAATATTAGACGTCAATGTTAAGTGGGCATTTATCGTCGATGTTGAGATAGTGTTGGTTGTCGATGTTGTGAAGACGTTGGACAAAGATGAGATTTCAAGTTGTCGGTGTACAAATTGCTAGCATTTAGCATCAATGTAAAGACAGCGTTAGACTTTGATATGAAGATCGTTTTGAAATGTTGATGTTGTAACGACGTCAGACGTCGATGTTGCGATGACATTGAACATTGTTATGAAATCAAAGTTGTAACCCACCAAAGAGAAATGAAAATGAAAATATTTGATGAATGAGGTATTAAATGCGGGCGATTGATTTGGTGTTGTGGATAGGATAGTAAATTAATTTTTAATATTTTAAATGAGTAAAAATTTTAAATACAAGAAATTATATTTAGAAACATTCATAAATATTTAAGATACACATGTCGGACCCGCGTGTCCAATTTGTATTTAATATTTTTTTAATCGGGCATGTTTTCGGCGTGCCTGACAAGTGTCGGAGGAGTGTCGGATGTGTGTCGTGTCGGATACGTGTCAGATACTGCAAGTCTCTTTAAGGAGAAGTGTCGGTGTGCCTTTGAGGTTTTCGAGATTTCAGGTGAGGGTAAAAGGGAGAAGATGAGGGTTATTGGAACATCGAGAAGTAAGAATATTTTTAATTTTGACTACATTTAAAAAAAAATTGATAAAATTTTGAATTAATAATAATTGGATTGTTATGTAATATATTTGATTAAAAATATTGAAAGTTATTATTAATATCTTAAAATTGAATATTTTTAATATCAAACTTATAATTTAGCCTCAACATTCCGAAAAAAAAATTAATATTAATAAATAAAAATTTATATTTCATTAATTAATATATTTATAATATTATATTACTAAGAAATGATAAAAAACACACATTAATAAAAAATGTTCAAACTTGTTTAATTGCTAACTTGATGACTATTAATAAAGTCGAGTTCGGGCTATTTATCGATTGGTTGGTTCACTTGCAGCCCTAGTGAAGAGAAAGAACCAATTAAAAAGAAAATTAAATGGATTGACAAAAAAAAAAACTTCATTGGTGATCCTTATGGTTACCTTTCTAACCATGTTCTAATCATTCTCGTTTCTATAAGTGTCATTCTGAGTCCCATATGTAGCTATGCATCACTTTCAAGCTTGATCACTATATGGTGGATGCTGGCCATAGCATTTGGGTTTGTTGGAGCTCTAGGACTTTTTTTTTTGGCCAAAACTAGGTCTGAAACGTTGAAGGAAGTTACAAACCATTATTTTCCATTTAAAGCGGTTAGCATAACACAAAATTGCAAAATATTAAAACATGAAAATCATAAGAATGAAGTCGTAAGGTTTTGTGGGAAATGGGCTGCAGCTATGGGTTATGAGCAAGGTTTAAAATTGCGTAATTAAGCCTCGAGGCGGTTTTTGTCCGTGAGGCGAGGCGTAAGACTCGAGGCGGTGTGAGGCGTAAGCCTCACGGACGCAGAATTGCGTAAATAAGAATTTAAGGATTTTAGCAGGTAAATAATAGCTAGATTCTATCATACAGTAAAAACATCTAAATGATATATGAAAATAGTGAAAAGTAAGAAAATAGATGTAATAAAATCAAGCAGCAATGACGTATTCGTCTTTTCTTTGCCTCTAACCATGTTTTTAAACAGAGGTTATGAGTAAAACAAATATACATGTAAAGTAGTTACTACAACCTATATTAAAGCGCTTGCAATTTGAAGATTAATTTAATGCAAGAAGCTATGTAAATACAGTCAAATTTTTTATTGCAAGAAGCTCTGTAAATACAGCTAATTTTTTTCATTTGACTGTTTAGAAATGGTTATTTCTTTAATCAGTATATTGGTATTCTTTAAAATCAGTTGAATTTCCAGAATTAAAAGCAGCTATGATCAATTGGTTTTTCAATAAGCTGTAAGATCACTTTGGATTGTACTGCACATTAAAGTCTCTAGTACTATAGTATTTAAGTCATTTATATTTTTACATAAAATGCTTTAGTTTCTATGCATTTTTTTTCATTTAAAATTTTACTTGTGAATTTTTGCCATGCTGATTTCATTTTGTTAATTTACCAATCGGTGTTTTTTATATATTGGGTATACGGTTTCTTTGTTTTGTGTCTTTCGTCTCAAACACATCACTTGATTGCATCATGTTTTGGAAACTCTGCAGGTCGTCGGATCTTGTTGCATTTTGAGGCTGTTGATTCAGCCTTTTTTGTGTGGATAAATGGGATCCTTATTGGATATAGGTTGGTCATAAATCATGTAATATATTTTTTCTAATTATATTCCATGAACACACACACACTCTCTCTCTCTCTCTCTCTCTCTCTCCACCTCTCTTTCTCCTTCTCTACATCCTTTTACACAGACACTTGTTTTGATTGATCTTTTGATTGCATTCTCTTTTATAATTTATCTTTACTAAGCTTATACTCTGGTTTGACATTGTACATATTCTGTAAATAGAACTTAAATGAGGCAAAGATCGTCTTTGCTAGTCCCATGCTTTGATGATTAAGGTTGGGTGTTGATGTTAGGTTTGTAGAGAGTATTAAAACTTGTGCTATGACTAATGAAATTAATTCAACTTTGACACTCAAGTAAATGAGGGAAGGGCTTTTCAAGTTGTTGACCTGTACTTAAGGCAAAAAAAAAAAAAATTACAGTACCTGCTCTCTGCCGAAGCCATCCCGCACGTCCTCGACGCAGCTCGCATGACCGACATCGGTCACTTCTCCCCACGTCGCTCACACGACTTTGCGTCGTTAAGTAGCTGAAGAGAACAGGCCTTCGGCCTCTCTCTCTCTCTCTCGATCTCTCTCCCTTTCGCATCTTTCCTTTTGCTCCTTCGTGTTGTTCGATTTCGCTCATTCGACAGACTTCCCTTTTCAGTCGGATAGGAAGCTACGACATTCGGATCAGAAGCAAGAACCGAAGCTCACTCGCTCTGGAAGCAACTTTCTCCCTATCGCGCGCGTTTTCGGTTTCCTCCCTCGACGAATGCTAAAACAGTACAGTACCTCCGAGCTGGGGGAAAGCAAACTGCATTTTCAAACAAATACCCTTGAAGACCCCATACACGCCTTTATTACTTGTGATGGGAAGGAAGTTCATGGCCGCGGTGTCCTCATCTGGGGACACCTACCATACACGCATTTATTGCGTGTGGTGGGAAGGCCCAGTTTCTCATAGTTTTCCCCTAAATCGGGGAGACGCTGGGAGGTTGCCGAAATTTCGGGTGAACATTAGACTTGAGTTGGACCTTATTTGAACTCAAAAGAATAAGAACTTGGACTCAAATGAGCATTGGACTTGAGGACCTAAACTTGAACAAAATATAAATAATGAATAAAAGGCCAAACCCAAATAAAATAAGATCAAACTGGAGCCAAATTCGAATCAATTTGAACATGCAATTGAACTTGTAAAGTCTTTATAGGACTGTACGTGGACATAGAACTTGGGCTTTCACATTGAGCTTATGAACTTGGTTTGAACTGGACTTCAAAGAACTCAGACTTGAGTTTGATTTGGACAACATGGGACTTGTTATGAACTCATGTTGAACTTGAATGAACAATAAGGATTACAGGGAACTAGATTGACTTTTGATTTCTTAATGCACATTAAACTGAAAATACACGATGCTACGCTACAATCTAATCCACTTGAGCGAAAGTTTAATAAAGATTGTGAGTGATGTCAAGGAATAAACGAAATGATGAATATCAATAAACAAATGAAAGAGTTGTGGTGGACAATATTCCATAGGAATTATTCACATGCAAACAGGGGACTCGTAGCAAGAGGTTTTCATACGAATTCAATTGTCATTTGATTGCAAACACATCAAACTTTCTGCAAACAAGCGAAGTTGATGGGTGATGAATACAATGCAACACCTATGAATAATGACGATTGATGCAATCTACATATAATCAATGTCTCCGAATTGCAATCAACAATGACTTAACTTCAAGGAAAGACATCAATTCTCCTGGCGTATCAATAAGTTATAATGCAAATGTGTCACAGACATGGTGGCTATCCTACAAACATATACAAGGAGACTACAACAACACTAGTAACTTTGCCTGTTGATTGAAGAAGACAACATTGGAGATTGATAGTGGAGAACCCCCGCAAATAAGTCGTGAATGACAAAGGTGGACATAATACAAATGTAATACTCCTACGACAATACCTACAAAATTAAGATGGCAACACTGTCAATCGACAGTGGAAGATCCGTCTTTGCAAGCAAGTACGTCAAACCACCTGAGATTGGTAAAAGGTGGATATGATGCAGGAACAATAACTCTTTTACGAACACTTCCAGGAGGTCATAGTGAATACAACGAGTCAATAAACATGAGTCACTTGTGGATAACAACAGTGGATATATCGTAAGTACAATGAACCCTTGTGGACACAAGTCCAAATATCACCTACAATGACAGTGATTGAGATGCTGCGAGTACGTCGAGTATGAAGTGTGAAAACCCGAAAAAATACCGTTTTAGACCTCACACGCTTTTCAAAGCACCGCAACGAGTTTTAAGTGAAAAATTCAATGTTGTTGGATTTTGACGGGAATAATTTTAGAAAATAGAGCGCAAAATTCTTATCGTTTTGATGTATAGAACCCATATCAGATTTTAAGTATTTTAGGAGTTAAAATTTCCAGAAAGTTCTAAATGATATTTTTACCCTTAATGCTTTTTGAATAGAGAGGGTGTTTAAGTGAGGGCTTTGAGGTCATTGTGCTTACATTATGAGAACCCCACCCTTATTAGGGGACCGAAATATTTCGGTCCCCATTTGCTGCTTGCGACCAAACCGAGCGGAGAAGAGGGAAAGGGCGCGGGTAGGAGCGGCGACGGGTGGCTCCGACGGTGTATTCCGGCGGCCAATCTTGTAGGAAAGCGTAGGGAAATCCAAGAAAAGGTTAAGGTATGTGTTTTGCAAGAGTTTTTCTTCCTTTCCCTTGAGTTTTTCCTAAGAAATGAAATTAGGGTTTTAGGAAAACTTGAGTTTTCTTTAAGGTTCCTCTGAGAAAAGTTTAGGGAAGGGTTAGGGGAAGTTTTTAAACTCTAATGTGAAGTGTTTTTGTGAAAAATATGAATTTTTAGAATTAGGGTTTTGCTCAAAAATTGTTTCTTTGGAAATGTCTTCACAAATGAGGTTTCTATTAACATAAGAAAGCTTCTAATGGAAAAATATTGAATGAATGACAAAATTTTTGAGTTTAGAAATTTAGGGTTTTTTCCTAATTAAGGAATTTTTGATCTCTATGATTTTTATTGATTGTTGGGAGGATTTTAGAGACTAATACATGATTTTTGCTTGAAAAACAATATTTTCTAATTTTTGATTTAATAAATTTCGAAAATTGATTTTATTTTAATTATGTTTTGAGTGTAGGGAGAGGTGAAGCATGTCTAAAACCTATGAATTTTGGCTAAATCCTAATTGAAAGAGAATGGGTTTGAGAGATATCACGAATTGGTGTGGAGGGTTTGAATTGGAACATAAACATGACATTAGATAGAACCCTTTTATTACTTTAGAATTAGGGTTTAGGATATTGTATAGGGATTAATTACTTATGCTTTTCTTTGTATGTCTCTTTTAGATATTAACTGTGTGGAGGGAATGAATTTGATCGGACAACGAAAGAGGTGCACGGATTGAAGTAGGTGGAATGGAAGTTCTTATAAATTTATTCAACTTTTCTTTCATTGCAAATTACATTGAATTGACAAATTTCTTTATGCTCATTATGAAACTCTTATGTCTCATGTTCCCTTATAAGTTTATGGACACTTAAAGCAAATGCAAAGGTTTTCTTTATGCAAATGTACAATTCATGAATGGATCCCATGCTCATTTATCTACTCTTAATATATATGTCTTTCTCTTTACATGCAAAAGCACACATAAGCATAACAAGCATGCATATCTCTAAGGAAACATACACTTGGTTAGTTTATGAATGATTTACATAAAGCATCTCTCATGGTTATATAAACAATAAGTGTATGTGTATGTTGACGCGGGAGTATCACATGGTAAAGGAGGCTCTTATGAGCCATGGTAAAGGAGGCTCTTATGAGCCATGGTAAAGGATGGTTCCTATGAACCAATGGTAAAGGAAATGGCCAAATTTTATGTACCTGATCAGTACAAGTGATACTCCTGAGACGGGTGTTTTATTTACATATTAAACTATTATGAACATTTCATATTCATGTTATGCATTTGAGACTATCATGTGAGGCAAAATGTTGAAGGAAAAATGGAAATGATATGAAGGAAAAAACACTTGAAAGTTGATGAAAAAGTATGCATTTCCTCAAAGCAATATTTCTTTATGTTGATGTTTCTTTTGTTATAACATTCAAGCATGATTTAGTTTTCTTTTATTGGCTCTAAATTCATTTGAATTCCATTCGCACCTATTGAGTTTATGACTCACCCTCGTTGTGGGAATACTTTTCAGGAGGATCTAGGAAAGGATAGATGGCAGACCAACCACCGTGCACCTTACCGTCGTAGGGAGACGACGGGCGGCAGGTTCTTTTGAGTTTTGATATTTTGTATAGAAGGTTTAGAAATGATAAGTAAGAAAAATGATTTTTGATCCCCTTTTGTATTTTGTAAACTCAATGTGGAATCCTTATGTTGGTGCTTTGAAATAAAGAATTGAAAAGTTTTTATTTGAAGATTCTTTAGTGGCTCTTTCAGTTTGTTTGGTACTTTTTGGAGATTTGTTAATTATTTATTGTGAAGTTTCTTTTATCTTCATCCTGTCCGACCTCTGTTCCCGCCTCGCACTTGCGAGCTAACCGGGCCGGGTCGTGATATGGAGTCAACTCGATGTACAGAGGACACCTTGCAGAAAGGAAGAGATGTTTGAACAATTTCAAACTAAACTTCCTGGTGTTCCAAAATTTCTTCTTGGTCCTATGCTTAGGAAAAAAACAGTTATTGTATCCACAATCACCGGAATTAACAAGTCTACTACGTTGGAGATCTTAAAAGGAGTTATTTTCAAAGCAGCGATAATTGATTTCAAAGTCCAGAAGGACCTCCCGGTGAACGAGAAAGGGGAGTCAACATCAAGATGATGAGATGCCTCATGACATCCAGATAATACCGCCATCGGATCCGCAACACTTGTATTAGCGGACATAAGGTGTATATAAGCTCTCAAATGAAATGTTGTGTGCATTCAAATGACAGTTACCTGCACAACTAAAATATTTCAAAGTACCCCTACACATGCACCGTAGTTTGTATACACATAGGTACACAAGGGGTATGTCCAACAATAAAATTTTCAAACACCTGCATGAGCCCCGACAAGCGTGTTACTGGTATACATGTGATGTCTAGGGATGCTGCGCGGGTCAATAAGTGAATTCAAGTTCGAACCCCGATCTTTCTATGCGAATCAATAGAAGTCGACAGTGTTTGAACCTTCAAACAAATACACGATTTTGGTGACCGGTGTATTTATTTAATACATTCTTTTTAGACTTTCAAAATATATAATCAAGAGAATTCACTAATAAAGGTATAAAGCTTATGAAACTCGATCATCCTAAGCAATTAAATAGGAGTAGACAGGGTTCGAACCACCGAATAAATATGCGGTTATGTAGTCGACCGGAATATTTATTTTATACATTTATATTAGGCATTCAAGGCCTTTAACAAAGAGAATTCACTAACAAAGTCATAAAGTCTATGAAACCCGATCCTCCTAAGTAGGTAAATAGGAGTAGATAGGGTTCGAACCATCAGATAAATTTGCGGTCATGAAGTCAACCAGAATATTTATTTTATACATTAATATTAGGCCTCCAAGGCTTTTAACAATGAGAATTCACTAACAAAGATATAAGGCATATGAAACACGATCCTCTGTCGACAGCTCAACAGAGTCGACAAGGTTCATCCATAAAATACAAATATTTTCAAATGGAATTGACTCCAAACACCCTGATGATGGCCGCGTTGAATGAAATTCTCAACCGGAGGGGTTCACAAATATTTTCAAATTGCCACTTAAATACCCAAAAATCCAAAATCGCAAGATCATGCAAATTCCAAATTTTTAAAATTGAAACTCAATCATCAACCATTTAAAGCAAAATCCATCCACCCTCCGCAATAGTTTGCCGAGGTGGACAAATTAAAATTTACTTCAGCTCACATGAAGCTAATGCCTAGTCGAAAATATCACTATGATCCAGGATAAACGATTATGACTCGGGGCTCTCTGAACTGAGTGGTTTTGCTGCTAAATGACACCACGTAATACTGATTTTGGCCAGAGCCAATACGCTCCTTAGTGGCATCAAATCCTTGAGATATGAATCATTAGGATATGATCGATAGGGCATAAAGCTCTTTGTTAGCTAAGGTGAATTTAAATTTGTCCCCTTAGACAAACATTCACCCCAGATTTACAAGGTCCCCTTATATGAAACAACCCATAGCTGCCGACAAGGATCCTTCTGTCAGGTTGGGTTGACTACCTCCTCTGACTAAGTAGACTAGGGACCACAATGGCCCGGGATGACGGAACCATGGGATTTTGATCAGGTCTATCATCTATTCCCCCACCATCTGTTTTAAGTGTAAGATGGTGTATTTTCCAATTTTAAATATCAAATATCAAATCTTCCAACCTCTCTAACTTTCAATTCTCAAGCCCATGCTGCTACTATATGCCGGATTCCGCGTATCTAAGGGAACAATGTATTCATCGACGACTAGCGTTAATCGAAAGTTCTCACTCGTTATCGGGAGGGGTAATTAACTATAGAGGCTTGCGCCTATAGGAAACCAGAACTCAGATCATAAAATCCTCCCAAAATGAGGGCGAAATCTCTGGGTATTGTCTTATCTACAAACTCATCTTCCTTCCCAAAATTTATCCTAGAACTTATTCTGTTAGAACTTCCCTCGCCAAAAAAAAAAAACAGCAAAATCGGGCGGAGGCCGGGGCCGAATTTTTGGAGCCCACACAAGTTGCTCCATATTTTTATAAGTGCCCGCGTCTAAGCTACTAACTTCATAAGTCTTTACAGGTCCGTGAATGCTAATTCTTAGCTATTAGATGTTGTTTGGTGGTCCACTACTAGCAGAAAATGTTCAACATGTATTTGGAATAAAATATTGTGCTAATTTAAAATCATCTCTAGCAAGGATGCAAAAAAATAAATAATAGATGACAAATAAAAGCACACAACAAAAGGTTAGTTTTTTATATTTTATGAATTAAAACACCAATATTGAAGGTACTTGCCAATGGTGCAAAATGGCGCGTTCCATGGCGCATGGCGCGGTGCAGCACAGCTACGACGCCAGTTGCATGGTGCGGCGCACATGTTCAAGTTGGTGTGCCATTTACACCATGTGTGCGCAATGGCTTATGGCGCAATGGAGCACGACACACACAATTTGAATTTTAGGGATTTTTTTAATATAATTATAAATGGTTTTTAATATTTATATATTTTAATTTCTAAAATAATGTAAGAATTAAATTTAAAATTATATGATATGATTAAAATAGTTTAGTTAGATTTTATTAGACTTTATTTAGACTTTTTTTTAGTAGAAAATTTGGACGAACTTGAAGCTCACTTTAATGGTTTGGACTTTGAACTACAAACATATTCAACCAAACCTTACCCAACTTGATTGATACTCTAAAATATGAGCTACATAAAAATTTTTATAATTATTTTTTATTTTGCGCCGTGTTCAAAATGGAGCGCGCCACAGCATGCGCTATGCGTCATTGCTCCACAGGAAACTTCGTACTGTGCTACGCCATTCGCCGTTGACAAGTATGCTTGCCACTTATCAGGAAAATATGTGCATAATTGGTGGGCAAAAATGAACTAAATGATGCATAAAAGGGGTACGACACATTGCATGAAAAGCATATGCAAGTGATACATATAAAAAAAAAGAAAAAGTGATGCATATAAAATGGTACATTGAAAAGCATACGGCGACATGCATACTCTCTTATTTTGATAAAATCCTTGTCATCTATCAAGAGTGAAACGTTGAACTAGAAACAACTCTAGAACTATGCGTGCATCTTTCAATGAGGATTTTGACTAAAAAATGTCCCATCATAAAGCTTGCCACTTGTTTTTTGTACAAATGCAATATGACGTCACCCACTTACAAATTCATTTATGGTTCAAATTTTTTCTGAATCAATCTCTAATGACTTTATATCATTTTGCATCAAATTCTAGTTAGAAGTTTGGAATGATGCATCTCATATTTGAAGGTTAGAGTTGTCAGGAGTCATAACCCGACAGTTTCCAAAGTCAGATGTCTATATTCGAATAACAGAATTAACACAACCAAAGAAAAAGAATACCTAAACTAACTTGAATCCACGGGCCAATTATTGAATATCGCTGAAATTAAAAATATAAAATTTTCTGTAAAAGATAAATATGAAGAAGATTAGGTCCAACTGCTGCATACATTCATCATCTCAATTTACATTCTAACATGCTTAGTCGTCTTGATCAAGTCAAGCAATCAAGTTTGGTCATCTTAGGTATATTCTCCGGGTTGACCATAATAAATTTTCCTTGGCCTGATCGTTTAAAAACAAACAAGAAGAGGCGTTAAGGACTTGTGCATAATCGTTATGCTATAAAAACAAATTGTGCATCTTTCTTGCCTTGCCTATAGCAGAATTATGAACCAAATCAATTATTATATTCTCAATCACTATAATGATGGCATATTGCTTGCTATGTCTATCCACTTCACTTTTAGAAGCATTAAATATTTCAATATGGATTTTTTGCTTTTTAAAATTGCATTCTTTGACCAAAATGTTACATATTAATACCTTGCAACATGCTGTTAGCATTTTCTTTTGGTTGTATAGTTTCATTACTGATAACTATCTAGTGCTTGTCCATATTCCGAGGCAATAACAACCACTACCTAACTATATTTGCAGCCAGGACAGTAGACTTCCTGCTGAGTTTGAAATTACCGATTCTTGCCATCCTATTGATTCTGACAAGGAAAACATACTTTCGGTTCAAGTCATGAGATGGAGTGATGGTTCCTATTTAGAGGACCAGGATCACTGGTGGCTCTCTGGAATTCATCGTGATGTCCTTCTTATATCAAAGCCCAAGGTTGTGTCGTTTCTTGTGTACTTTATTTCTAAAAGTTAAGCTTGTTGGCTTCTTCTCAATAGTTGACTATACTCTTGGCCTTGTATATATATATATATTGAAATGTTTGGCCATTGGTTCAGCGCCTATCATATTCATTCTCAAGCTGAACACGTTTTCTTTTTTACTTTTTTTGTTGCAGCTGTTTATAGCAGACTACTTTTTCAGATCAAATTTAGATGAAAATTTTTTTGAAGTGGATATCGAGGTACTTAGTTTCTTTAAGTTATGAACATGTTTGCCACTTTCTTTAAAAGATTAACATGTTTGCCATAAACATTCACGTGTAACTAGAAACCTGTTGATTCAAATTTGTTTTAGTTTCTTGTTATAATGCTTTTACTACTTCTGCCTACCGGCCTTGCCCTAATTCATGAACCTCTGCATTATACTAATAAGTGCAAATTTTTGGAGACCTCCACATTATATTAATAAGTGCAAATTTTAGGAGATCCATTTCATGTACATAAAAAAGCATTGCCAATTCCAAGTTCTTATGAGAAATGTTGAGAGTGATATCAGGTTAATAACCAAATGCAATACTTATGCCAAAATTCATTAAAATTCTAATATTAATTTTATATTTCTAGTGATAGGGCATTCCTCAAATGTAACTTGCTACGGACCAACCAGATTGTGATGTGGAACAAAGATTTGTAGGCCTTCACCAATAAGTGAAACTCCAACTTAATAACATAATCTTGATAAAAAATTAGACGAGGATGGACTTGGAGTGGGATCTCCCCAAAAAGCGTTGTGCTATATCTTGTTGATCCAATTGTCATGAAAAGTGGGCATGGGTTGAGTAGATCTAAAATTAAGATTAGGGTTGATATGAGCCCTTTACGTTTATTTCATATATATCTATGAAAGAAAGGTAAAGGGCACATACTTTGCAAGAAAAAGTAAACAAGCCATACTATTTCAAAAAAGAATGTATAGGAAAAATCTATAGACATGCACTTATGGTTGGCCTTCAATTATCAGAGTCTCATCGACTTGAATAAGCTGATATGACTGACGATCCAAACTACTGTCTATATCACAAGATCGTAAGTCACCCAATTGAAAATTGCTTCATATTCAAAGATTGGGTGAAAAGAAGTTATCGGAATGGTGAATTCACTTTGTCATATAGTGTCTTGGTTAATCCCAAAAGGGAGAAAATCAACGTTATCTTTCAAGCCATGCCAATGCACAAATCGTGATAAAAGAAAAGCACCACTAGAAGAACAAAGTGGTTGGGAAACCTTCATTTCTATGAAAACCAAACAAATGATGAATATCTTGTTGGTTATCGAATGCATTCATTGGAAAAATGCTTTGGAGTTGGAGGTCGATTCAAGACTCTCCTATTCAAAGTATTCAACTATGATAGGCCCAACTTAAACAAGAAGAAATCTTTAAAATATCAAGGAGGAAAGCAAGGTTTTGTGTCAAATTGTCTTAAATCAAATAAGAAGAAATTGATAAAGTAGAAAATTGAAATTCAAAGGTACATCGATTCTTAGGCGAGTTGTAAGGCTCGAAGAATACATGGCCGATTTATATCTTGACTCGGAGTTAGAATAAAATGAGAACATTCCAACAGAAACTTGGCGGTAAATGAGGTAGAATGGCCGCAAGAGGACACAATGCACCTCTTTCTATCCATAAAACTGATGTGAAAATGCCTTCTAAGGAAGTACTATCACGACCCGGCCCAGTAATTAAGCTCGCATAGGCGAGGCGGGAATAGAGGTCGGACGGTAAACTAAAATGTCCAATCTCTAAATCTATCACCATAACATTTGAAAGAGCCACTAAAACATTAAATTTGAAAACACATAAATAGAAAATCATTAATACTCATATAATTACCTTTCTTCTGTTGCGTCTCTCCTACGGTGTACGTTTTCACCCCTTTTACTCATTATGATTAAAATAATTATACCTGAAAATTTTTTAACAACTAACAGTAAGGCAATGTTTAGTAAGTAAAACATGCCTCTAAACTATAGTAATTTAAGACAGAATGAGTAATATGCTAAATGCTATTTTTTATTTAAACATATCATAAATTTTATTTCTTATAAACATATTATTAAACATACTCTTAAATTATAATCTCATATCCTTTCATATTTAGTTAACATTCATCATATCAATATTCGTAACTTTCTCATTTTATATATAGTACAACTATCACAGAAGCCACCATCTAGTACCATAAATGTACTCCTTTACCATTTTCTTTTTCATAACCTTTACTATTTTAATGTGCACGAGTACAACGTCACTAGCTAGTACCATAAGGGGGTGAGCTCCATCAATTCAGCATGCACATGCATGCATTCTATAATAATCATATCATCTCATTTCTATAACATATGAACTTTATGTGATAATGCCATGAAGTATAATATATAAATTGCATGATCAATCATAGGATAAGAATAACATAATCATGATCTAAAGTAACAATAAAAATTTCATAAACATGCTTGGACTTTCAAGACATATAAGTGGAGAGAAACAAATGTATTACTGTAATAAAGAACCATGAATACTCACTTCATTTTAAAGGATTTGATTTGATTATTTCGCTCGAACACCTTCCTTCGAGGTCCACGATTATCACCTATAAGCATTAATTTCTCCTTAAAAAAATCTACATAATAAATCTAAATTAAAATCCTTCTTCTCTTTTTTTTTTTAAACTACGCTAAGATCTCTCTTTCCCTCTCTTTTTCTCTAATTAATTTTAAATTTTCGGATTTAACCTAAAGCCTTAAATTTGGAAAACCCATTTTCATTCATGTCCTTATTTTGTATGCTAAAACTTTTCATTCATCAAATTATTATTTATGGAAAACATATTTTCGGATTCGTTAATTCTAAAAATTAGAAAAATATCATTTTGTGAGAAGAACCTAATTTATTCCCTTAGAAACCCTCTTAGGACCCTTAATTAGGAACTATGTTTGTAAAATCACTTTCAAAATTTCAAACTTTAGGGAAAAATTCTAATTTTTTCAACTCAATAATTTTGAAGAAAAACCTCATTTCTATGCATAAAATTATCTCCTAAACCTTCCCTATAAATCTTTTGAAGAAAAGAGAAGTTTTTCCAAACCCTAAATTCTTCATCTAAAAAAATCTAAGGGAAATATATATATTTCTAGGTTTAGGAACATACCTTAGTGCTTCTTAGGCTTTCCCCTACAATTTCCCTCTAAGAACCTCGCCGGAAAATCGCCCTATCAAACCCGTCGCCTAGTTCCCGTTGCTCCCTTCCATCTAGCCCCCTTACGCTCGGTTTCGGCCGAATTCGGTCCCCTATTAAGAGTGGGAGGAAAGATTAGGTGCAAAAAGTCTTATTTGCCCCTCTTGACTTATTTCGTTTTAATAATAATAAGGATATTTTAGGTATAAAGTTCTATAAGTTTTAACTTCCAAAATAAGAAAAATTCACTATAAGTCCTTTATATATCGTTTTGATCGAAATTTTGCGTAAAATTTTTTAAAATTATTTTCGTCAAATTCTGTTAACTTTGAACAATTCACTTAAATTTCGTCGCGACGCATCGAAAAAAGTGCGATGTTTAAAATTGACATTTTTCAGATTTTACAATTACATCATACACCAGCATCTTTCATTTATTTAGATTAAGAATTACACTTTCTTAATGAAGAAATTGATAATAAGAGAAATAACTCTTTAAGAAAAATGCCTAAAACTTGGAAACAGTTCAGATTTCAAAGGAGCTGAAAGTAAAAACTTCAAAAGATTCTTACACTGAGGCCAGTTCATCTACAAAGGTGACGTAAATCCAGCTAAGAAATGGAAAGAAGGTTCTTCCTCCACCACTAAGGAAACTGAAGGATTAGGAGAAGAAGATCCTAAATACCAGAAGATTCACCTAAGCCCAAGACTGCTAACGCAAATGTGGATTACAACGTCTTGGCCAATCTCAAATTATCTGCATTGCTAAGCATCTACGACGCTCTTATTACGTATAAGGACCTTCGAGAGGTACTCATCAAAGCTTTGCATTATCCATAACAATACTAAGTGTTCTTTGCAAAACAAAGCATGAAAGAAGCTTTGTACACCTAAATGATACAATCACTTTGTGATAATGATATGTTATTGGGAACAATAGTTCATAATCGACTAATTTATGTTACCGCAGAGAGTAACAATGTTGAAATAAATAGAACTCTAATTGATACAGGTTCCTCTGTTAATCTGATGAGTCTCAAAACGCTCAAAGGATTAGGCCTGGATGTTCAATATATGACCAAAAGTATAGAATTTCTATAAGGACTCAATGAATAAGGGTAAAGAACTCTAGGATCCGTGGTCTTATCTCTAAGCTTTGGGGAGCTCGATACAGAGGCAAGATTTCATGTTATTGATTTTAATACATCTTATAAAACACTACTCAGAAGATCGTGGCTCCATGAATATGGTATAGTGCCTTCAACACTACATCAATATATGAAATACAATTGAGATGACGAAGAACATTGGATTGACGGTGATGAACAACCGTTCTTGGTACATGAAGTGAAAATCCACGATGATACCATATATTTTATAATGCAAAAGTCAAAGAACGATGTTCTTCCTAAAATCCGAGCCAAAGAAAAGTCGAAAGACAAAGACAATAATAAATTAAAGCAAATTAGTTTAGCGCCTCATCTCGGTAGTGGCTCTGAAGAAGAGGATGATATCTCCGAAACCTTTAAACATTTGATCAAAGGGAAAAGAAGTGGTGAACTATCAAGTGCCCTTTTTGATTATGAAGCTAATCATGCAAACAAAGTACATTGCAACTCTTCAAGTAAACTGAGCAATGAGGAAGAAGAGGAATTCCTTTATCAACCTAAGGGTGCTATGAAACTTCAGAATAAAGGGGACCCAAGGCTTAGTTTCATAACTAAGAAGTTGAAGAAAGTGTCAATTTCAATGATAAGGATGTCCGAGCATCAAATATCCACAAACGTCATCAAAATAATACTCATGCTAGTGGCACATATTAAAACATTGATTGTATCGTCAAACACACTTGTAGAATTATTAAAAACCTTTTACGTTCCTCCAAAAAAGAGTATGAGCATGGTATCCCTTTCCATGAATCAACAGTGACATTGCATTATATTTCTACAAGAACTTTTTTTTAAAATTTTATTTCTAAAAGCTGCTGTAGCCAAACCACTTAG